CTGCTGTTCTTCATCCAGACGCCTGTGAAGCTCCATTCTCTGTAAATGTTCATTAAAATTATTAAAAAAAAAACACCCCAAAAATCCTCATCACAAGACCAATAGGTAACATCATGACAGATGGAAAAAAGACTCAAGCTGTCAATTATTTACTCTTACTTGGATTCACATTCAACACCCTTGGTACTAGCAAGCAAGAAATCAAAAGACATGTGGCACTGGGAAAATTTGCTTTTAAGAACCTCTAAAGTGCTAAAAAGTAATGATGTCTGTTTAAAGACTAAGGCACACTTGATCCAAATTGGTCTTTTCAATTATTTTGTATGCTTTATGTAAAAGTTGGACAATGACTAAGGATGGAAGAATTAATGTCTTTGAACTGTGGTGTTGGAGAAGAGTACTGACTATCCCACGGACTGTGAAAAGGACAAATAAGTCTGTCTTGGAAGAAGTGCAACTAGTGTCCACTTGAGATGATGGTGAAACTTCACCTCATATACTTTGGGTATGTTGTCAGAAGAGGCAGTGCTTGGAAAAAAACTATCATGCTGAGAATAGTAGAAGGTAAGAGAAGAAAGCCCTCAGTGAGATGGGATTTACACAGTGACTGTAACAATAGGCGCAAGTGTATCCTAAGAGCTGGTGAGACGGCACAGGATAGAGCAAGGTTCAGAATTGTTGTTCATGAGGTCACTAAGGCACCTATTAACAATGGCCTGCCAAACACCATCTGCTGAACAAATTCTTTCAAACATTTTAGATGCTAATTTGCATATCTAAAGCAATACACTATCATGCATGGTTAAAGTATTTTTTACCTGTTTCTCAGCACTTAGTATATCAAGTTTCAGGACTTAAAAGGAATATTTACAAAAACTTTAATGCATTTCCCCCCATTAATTCAGACAAGAATTCCCTCCTTTTAAAACAGTAAATTTTCCCTTTGGTATACATTAAGCTCATAATTGTTGGTAAGATGTAAGAATAATGAAATTTTTAGGAGAGAACAGGAAACGTCAGAAAAAACCCTTTCAGCAGATAAAGATCTTTTGTTGCTGTGAGGTGCTGTCTCACAGTGACCCGATAAACAACAGATGTGAACCCTGTCCTATCCTGTGCCATCTTCATAGTTTCTGACACACTTGAACCCACTGCTGCAGTCACTGTGTCAATCCATCTTGCTACTAATCAT